AAAAAATAAAAAGAGGCCAGCCCTAGCACTGGTAACATAAGTGAAAACAAGATGAACAGTACAAAAAAGCAAAGGCTCACAAGCCAGAACACAAAATTTTTTGCCAAATTAAAAGTTAAATTCAAAATTTGGTAATGGCTCAGAATTTGAGATTAATAAGTCTATCATATCCTTCATGTGGAAATTGATTTTTAAAAGTAGTAGGTAGCTTCCTCAAAATTCAAAATTCCTGCTCTTCCAAAGATACTGTCAAGAAAACAAAAAGACAATCCAGAGACTGGGAAAAAAATATTTGCAAAATACATATCTGATGAAGGATTTAGATCCAGAATATATAAAGAACTCTCAAAACTCAGTAACAACAAACCAATATAAAAAATAATCAAAGGATTTTAACAAACATTTCACCAGAGACAATCCAGAAATGGCAAATAAGCACAGGAAAGGTGTTCAACATCATTAGTCATTAGGGAAATACGAATTAAGATCACAGTGAGATACCATCACATGCCTATTAGAATAGACAAAGTGAAAACAGACAAACAAAACAACTGACAGTAGCAAGTGCTGAGGAAGATGGACACAAAGCAACTGAAAGTCTCAAACACTGCTGGAGGGAATGGGATGTAGTACGGCCACTTTAGAAAACAGTGTGGAGGGGAAAAAAGAAAAAAAAAGAAACGGTTTGGCAGTTTTTCGTAAAGTTAAATATGCACTTAGCATACAAACCAGCAATCCTACTCCTAGGTATTTACCCAAAAGAAAGGAAAACGTAAGTTTCCATAACCTGTAGGCAAATGTTTATAGTGACTTTATTCATAATTTCCAAAACTGTAAACAACCCAAAGTCCTTCAACTGGTGAATGAATGGACAAACTGTGGTACATCCATACAAGGGACTTGTACTCAGCAAATAAAAGCAAAGAAATTACTAATACATGAAACAACACAGATTCATCTCAAATGCCCCATGCTAACCAGAAGACAGACTCAAAAGGCTACAGTGTTTCATTCCATTTTTATAACATTT